TGTCGATGAACACTCACGTAACCTGATTATTAGAAAGTGATGAGCAACCTAGTCGCACACATCACAAAAGCATGCGCCAAACCTAGATTGCTGAGAGTATTAGATATGACATTCTGTCTCATATATTCACCAGCGCGCTTAGAACAACTTTCATAAAGCAGTATTGATTCAGAACAAAAGTGCGACGCGTATTTTTTTGCAAAAGCGGGAGAATGGAAGAAGGTGGGGGCGCTTGACAACAAAAAGGCCTCCAAGGGACACGCAGAATGAGGGGAATGCGCTCATTAATGAGGTGCTGATGACGCGTTGGACCGATGCAAGGGCTGGGCAGAGCAACAGCGGCTGCCTACCTTTGACCATCAGGTGAACGGAGAAACCACCATTTCTGTGAGTAGCCACCGTTCCTTGCTGTGCCCTGTGTTGGCCTGCGGACTGATTTATGCCGTCCCTTGGGCGCGCGTTCGAATGGCGCCGCCCACCCGAGCGCCAGTCTTGCTATTACTTGCTCTACTATTTGTACTTGCTAAAAGCCGTTTCCCACACTAGAGTGGCACAAGCGGCGCCCGAAGCTACGAGCAGTGTTCATTACCTGCTGACGGTCTGCTGTTATTTGACTGCTTTCATTTACGGCCTAGCGCAATTGCGTGTGTGAGCATACGTTTAGTGTCTGATTGCCGACTTGATGTTGCGGGCCGCCGAGTAGCTGTCGTGTGGGCCCTATGGTCCCATCCCCATGTCCCTATCGTCGAGCACCTCTGCGCAGTTTGCCCCTATTCGGAGGACACCACTGCCTTCAACACATTCTCTTGCTACATTGACCAACAACAATCATCTGAACAACAACTCTCTGGTCAGTCCGCCGCTTGAGCCCGTCTTGGAAACTACACCTCTCACCAACGGAGGACCGAAGCTAAAAAAGGCTACTGTACCGGTACCAGATCCACGGCGACCTGTATTCAGAGAGCAGACAGCCCCTCGTGTCCTATCCACAACCGCCGACTATCTTGTGAGTCACATTTTCAGTGTCATTCATCGTTAATGGTAGTCCTTGGTGCCATTTCTTTCTCCCTCCACAAATGCCTATCGGAAATGCATGGATCGCCACATAAACATATCACAAATCCGCAGGATTTCTCCTAGCTTAGCTGCAAGAGACTTTCAATTGATTTACCTTTGCTTTGTCGTTCTCTTCGTTATCTTTTAGCCCTCACAATTTCGCACTGCCTACGTATATATCGCTAATCAAGTTCATAGCCCAATAGTCTATCACACACTATTCTTCTGCACCTTTCATTACTCCGCTACCATGTCACCATTGAGCTAACGAGCCTGAAGAGCTCTTTCAATTGAAGGCAAAGCGGCCTCGTTTTTCACCACACGTTCAGTTTCACCAGTGACAGCTAATTGCTCGCAGGCTTGAAATATGCAAATTGTGCGCGAGACTTGAATAAAACTCCTTTCATCGACAAGTGCCTCGCATATTATTAGATTTAGCAACTTAATGCTCTCCGAAAGCTTTATGAACACTGCAAAGTGTTATGTATGGCCCAAGGTTCATTTCAAAGGGATATGAGTTCCATTGCAGTTTAGACGCATCCGCCTTGGACGTCATTCCTTGCTCGTATCGGCGCGATTCTGTTTGAAATGCTTGCTTCACGGCTCATGTTTCAGTATTTTGAAATGTTGTGCACCATATCAGGTGACGGCACTCTCTATTCAAATGAGCATACGGGGTCCGTATTGCATGCGTCAAGTTCTTTAGCGATTCTATGCATCACTCAGCGTTGTTCTACCTATTTGAAATGACGCTAGTTGTGCCGATAAGAGCTGAAAATCACGCGAAATGCAAAAACTTTACGTTGAGGTTATTGAGGAAGCTGTATGTGCATTTCATGCATGTCATCGCTTGCTATGTGTGAACGAAAGCAATTCCTCCAAGCCGTTATGACCAAAACAATTTCGGATCATTGGTTAAGCAGCAGCCTCAAATAACATAAGCAATGAGAGAGAGTGAATATCGAAAAAACAACAGTTGACTCCATTTCGAGCGATTTACTCACTGCAACTCTACCATTATCTTTTGATCGTGTATCATTTCGGTAAGTGAAGCGAACAGTTTTCTATTGATTTGAAACGCAACATACTTGTGTCTGACAGCTTCTTTAATCAACCAATTTCACGGCAAAATTTCAATATTTAACGCTCATCGCGAAATTGGGCCCATGCCCATTATTTACATAATTAGTGTTCACACACCAGAACAAGAGGATTAGCCGCCTAAGGAGGAGCGTTGACTTACAGCTATGAACCAACAAGAAAGCATTTCCATAGGGACATCATGCGTGTTTCCTAATGATATTGATGGCGGACGACTTTGCGTTTTCCGCTCTTGTTTGACATAGGCATGATTGTCCCTGAGCTGTCAGTTTTTGAGCGATTGAAAACCATATATTATATATTAGCATAAGAAGAAATTTACAAACTTTTGTTGTGACAGAGTAATGGAAGCGGAAGTTGACGGATGATTGATTCTCAAATAAGCGCTTACGGATCTCAAATGGCAACTTACTTTTAATATGACGAAAAAAAGGTCGCAACGTTAATGCATAGACAAAAATACCTCCGACTATTCGAGCGCAAAAAACTTGAGTCTGAGTTCTGGGAGAAAAGAGCCAGAATCCTTAGTATAACTTCCGTTCTGTTTGCACTATAGTCATATCGGAGCTTTGGAGCAATACTTAAGAGACACCCGCACCGCAACGTATTAGACCGAACAAAACTAGGCAGCTTGGTTGCTGATCTTCTTTTAAAGGTAGCAAGGCTTTCAACC